CATCTGAAACATATTTTTTGTTTTTCTAGTCAATTATCGATTCCAAGTATGATAAGACAGAAACTGCATGCATGAATAAAAAGATGAATTAAGTTACCTGGAAAAGGATAAGGCGAGGCAATAAAATAGTAGGGTCCAAAATCTTTGGGAGGCTTGTAGGTTTGGTTGGTCAAGTCAAATCCAATACTTTGAATTTCAGACCTATTAAAATATTTGTCAGTGGGTGGAAAAAGCGCGACCTGCACCTGAAGGTAGTCGTCAACGTTAAAAAAAGGGTTCTGAAGAAAAACTGAACCAGGAGTTAGGCCCAGTTTGCCCCAAAGAGACATTTCTAGTGAGTGAAACATATTCACATTGGACAATTCCCGGAAGGAGGGTGCTCTGAAGTACAGGGTCCCTTCATATGGATAGGCACATTCGCAACTCTGAGGGCTCAGCTTCTGTTCAGGGGGACACATTTTACTGCCACAATTAGCTAGGCTAGTGGAATAAGGCTTTGTAGACTGCTGTTGGAGCTGACAGTAATTGGTATCCGAGAGAGCAGTGCACACCGGGTTTCCTACAAGTCTGATTGCATGACAATGAAAATTTAAGATTGATGGTGAGTGGTTGAAAGAATAAATTTTTCCACGCAAATAAATGCAATTTCTAGAAACTTTCTCACATTAATGTGTTTGTGTAATCAGCCGTCAGTGTTACAGAGGAAATCTGATTGTTCTGAAGATCAACAAGTTGAAGCTGTGTACTAATGCTGTCACCCATGTTGAAGGAGCCATTGAGTGCATTATTTCTCAATAACCTTCAAAATTTAAAGAAACGAATGATCAATTTTGCATGTTCTAAAATTGTTTTGAGGAGCTCAATTGGAATTTGGTCAAAACTTACACTTGCTGTATCTGGGGAAAACTGAACACTTTTGATGGCAAAGTCCCTTGAAGAGATCCATGTTCTATAACTCTGCAGCATATCAATCATGGATTTTTGAAATGAGACTACGGACCTATAACATTTCCAGATATATAGTACATTTCTGATGTGCTGGAGACTTACAAGGTGGTGAGAGACGGTAAGGTTGAGAACCAATCAGGAGCTTCTGAAGAATAGAAAGAATTGTTACTAAGATCCCTGCAAAAGTAAATCATAGATCAGGATTCATTAACATGGAAAAAGAACAAGTTAGAAGAACCGAAGGGAACCTCCTTTTGATTGACTTACACATAATTTAGGGCGTCCATTTTTGTTAAATTTGGTAAGGGGCCTATCAGCTTATTGTGTGCAAGATTCCTGAAAGAAACATTTTAGGAAGGAAAAGGTTGATAAGCTCATTTAAGTTTAACAGACTGAAACCACCGCCTTGTTAAACTGTGAGAGTAAGAGTACCCACAATTCATTGAGGCTCGAGAGGTTGTTCAAATTTTTTGGGACCTTGCCAGATAAAGCATTTCTATCAAGTCGACTGCAGCAAACAATATGAATCAGAGTCCTAATTGAGCTCGCAGAGAGGACAATACTTTAAGAAGGGAAGATAAAACTGGGACAGTTTTTACTCACAGAACCTCGAGAGTCTGAACTAGGCCTAATGTGGAAGGAATATTTCCTTCAAGTTGGTTCCCATCGAACAATCTGTCATTAAAGAATCACAAGCAATTAGAAGGGAAGAACTGGGGTAATGAGAGATTAAAAAATTGGTCTGATTAACAACTTACACGTGTATCAGCACCATATCAGAGCTGAAAAGTTCAGGTGGAATGGAACCTGAAAGCTGGTTTTTATTGAAATGGCTGCAAACTCAAAAAATTAGTTATTCTTTGTGCAATACCCATTTAATTAATTGCACTGCTGGGCACATTTAAATACAATATGTTTAATCATCTTTTGTATTGGAGGTGTTTCAGAAATATATACTTACAAGTGCTTAGCATTTAGTAGTAGGTCCAAGCCTGGGGTGGTGTTTTTGGAGATTGGGATAGGTCCTGTCAATTGATTGTCTGCAAGGTCCAGCCAGTAGAGTTTGGAGAGTTTACCTAGAGAAGGAGGGATTCCACCAGAGAAGTTGTTTGAGTTGAGAGCCCTGTGACGAAGGGTAGTACTGTTGAATATAGGGAAGGAGATACATATAGTGCCCCTGTTAATTCATGCTCTCATAATTGTTACTGGTTTAACAACTCTTACAAGAAGGATAGCTCCGCAAGATTGCCCAGCTCATCTGGAATACTACCGCTGAAGCCACAACCAGCAAGGATTCTGAGGAGGTGTAGGAAAGACACATAAATAAAAGACACATAAGCCGGCCCACCAAGTAGAAGATTGGGTATGTATTTCATCTTACAGGATGTTCAATTTTAGCAGATCTCCTAACCGAGGAGTGAGGGATCCTGTGAGGTTTGTGTTAAATGATAGGTCCCTGCAATAAAATAACCTCAAAGCTTGAATATTGAGATTTAAAATTGATTGTTGCATGCACCGGACCCTTTTGTGGAAATGTGTGCTTAATTATTAGCAATCTTGCTAACGTAGAAGTACGATTTGAATTGCTTGTAATAAACTTGTTCCAGTCAAGATAGATAATTAAGAAACTCACAAGGATCTCAATTCGGTGAGTCCTCCAATATCACCGCTTAGCTTCCCTTTGAGGTTCATGGTTGATAACCCCCTGAAATGTATAAAATGCTTAGTGATGAACAAAATGATCTTGCTCTAGATGGATTATTAGAGTGGAGACGATGAACGAATAATAATAAGTTACTGATCATAATCACGAGGAGGGAATCCAGTACTGACAATGCAGTGATCCTTGAATTGGAGCACGTGACTCCTTCCCAGGGTGCTCCGCATGGATCAGGAGACTGCCCCCAACTTGGTGGTGTATTTTGCCATTGCCTCTTGAGGGATTGGAGTGCTGCAGCTGCACCCCCACACAGAAACCATTGTTAGAATTATGAACTAGCGGGTGTAGGAAATGAGACAAATACAATAGAGCAATAGTACTCCTGTCTAGCCACAACTTCTGAAAACTGTCAGAAAAATAAATGAGTTTAAAAGAAGTTAATAAATAATAGCAATATCGAAGAAATAAATGAAGGAGATGGAGAAAGGAAGCAAAGCAGTTGAATTACCATCACTAGGGTCCGTGTCAGAGAAAATGAGATGAATTCCTGAAGTAAAGAAAGTAAGAAAGAGGAGCAACCGGGCAGTGCCTCCGCCCAGTCCCATGGCAGCTACAATATTGAATTAATGTCGGGCTACTAAACTTCCAACATCAGCCACGTACAAAAACAAGTCTAAAATTGGAGCCGGGCTGGTCTCAAATGCTGCGCTGAGGACGATAGAACAAGGAACGAGTGTGGATTCTGCTGCTCTGTCATATCAACAAGAGAGAACAAAAAAGAAAAAAGTCCCCTCTCCTATGGTGCTTTCTTTTAATTGATTTTGTCTTGTCTTAGAAGCCACTCTATGGCCTAACCATTCCCACTAACATGCGTACTGGCAAATTTAAGTAGCTATAATGATATTTGATAATGTCATCTTCTCCATCACTTGAGAAGGTCTCTGCTGCATGTCTCTTTTATAATCATTATAAAAACAAATTTAATTTTGACGTTTTGCCGTCTCGTCCGCCCTTCCACCAGCTTGGATTATTATTATTTTGCTACTAAGATAATACATGTACGTAGGCATGGCGCATCTTTATGAACGGCCCAATGTTGGATATTTTCCTACTTCCTTGAGTCTATTGTAAGAATGCCCATTATTATTATTATTATTATTATTATTATTGCTAACAAACACACTATAATATGTTCTACAGATGTCCATTCCATCAAAATATGTGCCATAACTTTATCAAAACACTTAAAGACTAGCATTAGTACAAGTTCTAATTTAGACAGTTGGGTATTAGGTGGTTAGGGCATTATTATGCACTCCAAAATCTTAAGAAACACGACAGGCCACGTACAGACAAACTCCCATTAACTAGGCAGCAATTTGATCCGCAGCCCTTGGAGCATTTCCAATCTAAAATGGTATTTTGAAAAGCTAAATTGATAAAATATCATTTTAAATAGTATAAATATAACTTATCTTATTATATCTATTCCAATGAAAAAAAGCCATTTGAAGAGTCATTTATATTGGAGTGAAAAAAATAAGTGTTTTATTATTTTTTAATATTGTTTAATATTATTTTTTTCCACGTGTCTACATTTAATTGTTCTATTTTTTTAGTGGTCCCACTTTGTTGGTTTTGGCTCTTTAAAGAGATATGTAAAAATAGCATTTATGGGAGAGAAAAGGCATTTTAGCATTTTGTTTGGCTTCTCCATTGGAGTATACAAAACAAACAAAGAAAAAGTCAAAATATTAATTTTTTATTTTTGACTATTTATTTGGCTTATCCACTGGAGATGCTCTTACAAACTACAAGTCATTCCCCTTTGAGTTGGTTTTCTACAATTAGATTGATATTTCCGTTCCATCCACATGAGATGGTTTTCCTCAGACCCTTAAACCAAAATCCATTTTTATATATGCCATCTCATAAAACCTGAAATGAGATTGTCAGAGGAAAGAGTTCCTGGTTAGTATATGCAGTTGTAACAATCACTTGTGTATAGTTTACTTGTAAAATAAGGTATATGTTTTTGACAACTGCTTAGTTCACTTAAAAAGCACTCATACTTCGGTAACCATTCATTAGAAAACAACTAGAAAAGTTAACATGAGATTTTTACGTAATCTCAATTCCCATCAGTTTACGGCAGATATGAAACCTATCCTTCGGCGTACTGATTCTGATTTCACTTGAACCTCCGAGTTGTTCTCCCTTATCTTCATCTCCACTTTGTTTAGGAAATATGACCATCAATTGCTGACTAAAAACCCGTGCCTTTGCTCTTGTTCTGTTTTCATCCTTATTTGGGAATTCGTTTTACCCTTTCATTTTTATCTCCCTCCTAATTCAATTTTTACCCCCCACGAGAAAAAGGACAAACGTATTAAAAAAAAAAGGTTTTTTTATGGCAAAGCAAGCAGCAGTAGGTTCACAGTTGCATGGAATTTAGATATAGCAGGTAAAAAACTAAACTAGGTACACAGTAAAAAACTAAACCGGTGACCTACTCTTTTCAGGAACTGCATTAACATCTACCGGTGACCTACTCTTTTCAGGAACTGCTGATATGGGACAATAAAGTCTACATGCGGTCCAAAGTACCGCGCAAATATCAAGCCCAGATGGTTTGTGCTGTCCACAGCTGCAGGGTCATCCAAGGATAGCTGAATGCTTGCAAGCTTGACCAGTTCATATCCAATGACAATGTGATCAGGACCATACAGTGTTTGGAGTATCTACCATTTAATCAAAAACATGGAAATGTCAGTCAGATTTCATTTCTAAGAAAATATATCAGGTAGCAAGTGATATGACAACCAATAACACACCTCAATTGATTTCTAGAAACAAATAAATTGCAATGACACTAAAGAATTGAAATGCAGTTTAAAGGACAATGAATTAGTTCAGAATTGGAAAAGAAAGCTGTCATATGAAGCATCCCGGGTCCTGATTGCTGTCTCTGTCCTAACATTTTGCGCAACTCAAGTGAGAAAATTATTTTTCTTTTGAGACCACAGGACGTTTCCTGATGCGACTGGTCTAAGATATGCACATCTAAAACGTTTATAACGGATGTTACAATTTGACTAATGCAGTTCATTGTTCACATATGCCTAAACTGGTTCTCGTTCGTTAGAAATCAAGATGTGGAAATTTGAAAAATAATTCTGTTGACAACATTTATGAAACTGAAAGCATAGCAATCTCAATTAGTTTACCTTGATTGATTCTTTACAGTGTTCCCTAGCAGATTGGAAGTCTCTAACCAAACAAAATGCTTGTGCAAGATTGTCCTCAGCCTGCACAGGATGAACATTGAAATAAAGGATGGTAATACATCTTGCGCTGGCTACATGAAATGCAGATATAGTACTGCTCTCAAGTGTTAGTTTCACATTAACTGCAGATATAGTACTGTTCTCAAGTGTTAGTTTCACATTAACGTAGTATCTGCACAATTAAATTTATATCTATTTACAATGGCGAATCTATAGATTAAATATCTGCTCAGAAAAAAGTACACAATCATGGATCAAGTTGTGCCCTGGAAAACAAATGTAGAGAAAAGATAAACTAAAAAGAGTCGCACTAAAGTGAAATAACAATGCATAAAGTTGCGCCAAGAAGTAGAGAACTGGAACTTACCTCTGCAACACTCTTGTTATATGCATGCAAGGTTGATCTCAAAATACCAAGGGCCCTTGAAGCATCTAAAAGGGTGGTTCCTGTGATATCTTTTGAAATGATTGCTTCCTGCAACCTGTCAACAAGTGAATAATTGAATATCTATATATTTCTGCAAATATTTGAAGAGCATGTTCCTTGTAGGATATAGTTAAAAATGATTCAAAGAAAAGGCTAGGCTGAAATAAAAATGTACCTCTTGATATAACTCCAAGCTTTGTTGATGGCTTCATGCGAAGCATCCAGATCACGATGCGAGCCACAATGCAAACAAAATCCGGGATGAATATGAAGGGAGCTATTGTTAAACTTGAGAGCAAGGCCTGCCACATCGTTTAAATCTACAATATTGAGCTTTTGACCCTATCAAGAAAAGAAAATTTGGTCACAAAACAGGAAGAAGTACATGATTTTTAATGTATTGCAGTCTAGGAACAGCTATTATTCATAAATTATAAGATTGGATATGAGCACATTCTGACAGCCACATAAAGTTGTGCCAACTTCATGTTGCTGGCAATTGTTTGTTATCCTTTTGGTGTTCTTCAAAGTAAGAAGCTGTGTGTGGTTAACACAATTCACTTCTGAGCATTTGTGCCCCTTAAAGACCAGTGCAACTGTTGAACATTTAATCCAACAGTCTGTGATACACCTGATGCTATCCCTGGATTTTATGAAGAAGAAAAAGGCATACCTGCAAGTGAGAATCAAATTTCTGTTTTTCAGGAGCTCTAGGAAAGTTATTAAGTTTGTGTGTTTCTCCGTTTATGATGGTGCTCTCCAGGACTACACCGGCACAGTTATGATTAACACAGCAAAAGGCATTAAGAACGAGGTCAGATAGGTTTAATTGTGAACAACCACGGCACTGGCATCGAAATGAGTACTTATCTGCCAGATACCTAAGGCGGTCTTCACAGTCTGATTGCCCAACCTGCAAAACACAACTGCACATTCACCTTTTGAAATGCCAATTACTTCACCAGCTCAAGTGTTTCAAAAACACAAACTGTTGCAGAAAATTATGGCAGTAGGAGGTAAAGAAAAATGTCTGGTAGTTGCACACAGGTATGTGTACAGGATTGGTGCCTCCAACATGTGAGCATTGGACATCTAGATTTTTTATGTTATCTAAACAAGCATGTAAACTATTGAGAGTCAAGAACATTCATATTCTTGTATCAAAAACAACAGCGAGTGAAGGAAATGTGTCGGTGCTGAAAAAGGTTGATACCTGAGGACCATAGGACAACTCCAGGGGACAACCTGTTGACACATTCTCTGTTGTTCGTATAAACAGAGTACGTGAAAGAAAATATGCATGAATGTTTGGCAAGCAAGAATGGTTGAACAAACTGGCAGCTTTATATATAGCTTGACCCACTGGAACCTATAAGATTGGTAATCATGTCAATGGACAATGGGACCTTTCTCTCTACCAAAAGATAATGTTAAAGCTTGGTAAGCATAAGAAAGAGTTGTAGCATAGCCATTAACCTGTTCCAAACTACTAGTTAAAGCATCTCCAACAGAGGTAAGCTTTCTGAACTGATCTGGTGGGTCATCAACAGATTTCATTCGGACAATTGCCATAGCGTTCACCCTGATTTGAGATATAAGGATGATAGTCTGCATTCATTTAATGAAATAAGATCGATGGAGGTATTGACAGTTGAAACTACTGTATTCAAACAAAAAATGGAACCTTAAAACAAATGGCTTTTATTTAATGAAATAAGATTGATAGAGATGTCAATAGTTGTAACTATGTAAATAGAAAATGACCAATCATGTTCAGAACAATAAGGATGTTGATTTGAAACCAGCATAACTAGAACATGTAAATCTAGTCATAGAGACTGTAAGGCATGACACATAGATAGAACAAGTTACTATCATTTCACCAGTTAATTGCAAACTGTTTAGCAGGTACATTAATTCTTTTTTTCTTCTGAAAAAAATTTAAAAAGGAGAGCTCACACACTGAACTATTAAATTTCCAACAAGTATTAAAAGCTCCACATGAACAAATTTGATGCTCATAACAATACAGGGTTGTTTAAATTAACCATCACAAACTTGGCAAAGCTAATAATGAGAGGTATTGATATTTAGAAAAATAAAAAAAATTAAAGAGGTTGCATGGGTACAACCCACATACACGAGAAGCAATTGATGGGTTTAAAAGAAAGGACAAACAGAAAATACAAAGAAGAGTTACAAGACTTAATTGCTAACTACTTTCGATGCCTTTCCACAACTCCATCTGATAAGAGCCTCTCACAAAGTCCTAACCAACCTTACCTGTCTCCAATGCTCTCAGCCAGCCTCAAAAACCGAAGACCATTCTCCTAATATAACATAAACAAAAGTATCCAGCTCTTAAACTGCCTACCTGCCTTAATAGAAGAACATTCAACTTATGAACCATCAATTCAACCCCTGCCTTCCAAAGAGATTGCATCTTGTCAAATCTCACAGAGATGAAGTACAGATTGTTGAAAAAGAAATCAGAAATGGTATCAAGGGAAACTGAGCTTGGTAAGATCCTTCTAGGTAAATGAAGAGTTTTTCAATTCACTAGCCTTCTTTGATACTATCTACCAAACATTTATATGCTTACAAGGCACTAAAGGAGGAACAATGGAAAATAATGGTTATGAACAAACTTCCTTGCATGCTAGAATCATGGTGAAATCTTCACTCAAGCACCAGCCCCAAAGGAAACAGTTACCTGTACCAACACAGACCTTTAAGACTCATAATTGCGCAAGCTAACCCACCAAAATGAGAGTCATAGGTCAAAAATAAAGGGCACCACTGAAAGGTTCTTTATATTTGCCAAATCCACAAAGGTAAATTTCAAATCAACGCACTGATCCATAACCAAAACAACAATGAAAAGCTAAACTGGATTCTTCATCAATTTTCATGATGTCATACATGCCCCCATGAACCAAGATTGAAATAAAATAGCTGATATGGACCCCATCCACATTCCCCTTCATTAAAGCCAATTCACCAAAGACATGCAAATATATGTATCATAGATAAGTTGAGGGGAGAGTAACTGTTCAACATTTTGAATTAGATTTAAAATAAGTTACAGCCAGAGGCGCCTCATCATCTGACTGACTGTAGCGATTGTAAAAGAGTGATAGAGAGAAAAGAACCACCTGTGATAAAGAGACTCCATTAATTGGAAGTTCAAAGCCGAAAGAATGCTGCAGACAGCATAACAAAACAATTGCGTATACATGTAGCTCCAATTTGCTTTCTGGAGTAATTTGTGTATAGCTGTGAGAGAGACCCTACTGAACCATAAGGTGGTGAGTAAAATCCTCAATTTAAAAAAAAAACTTGTGGTTGATGCAATATAGCAAATATGCATGAGATGTACCAGATCACAAAGAGCATTAGACTTGGTAGAACATCTTTGCGAGGTAGATTTCACTAGAATTCGACCAGCCAGAACTATATCAGATGGCAATATGGCAGGCCAGTTTACACCTAGACATTCATGTTTGTGTTCAGGAAAGCACTCAATTGGATTGGAATCACTGCATACAGCGAACTTATACTCTCCATGGCTATGGGAGTGACTTTCATTTGTTCCAATTTTGTCCTGAAAATTACTGAATGGTTCTCCTCCAGCTTGTACCTGGCAATGTTCGGAGCAGTAAAGTGGTATTGTACATGACGTACAGGGGACTGTATCTGCTCGTAGTTGATTCAAGCAGTAATGACAGTGTGTTTCCCGGCAACTCTTCAATATGATCTGTAGATCAAAGGGCAGACTGTAATTAATATTCCTCATTAGAGAAATGCAGGTGCATGAAATGGTGACAAGAGGGTACTATAAAACACAATTTTATACTAACATCTCAAGCCTGCATTTAAACACGCTCATTTCATGAACATTTGTCTTTACTAGTGAAAATTCTATACCATTGAGTATAGCTGATTTAACTGCTCTTATAGATTAAACATTAATTGTATTTTTATGATAACATGAAAACACTCATGAGTGCTTCTCCATGTATCCATCCTGTCCTAATTTTCAGAGTACATCTTTCTCAATATCTTTTTTTAAGAATAATAAAATGAAAACATATCCAATACATATAATAAGTGGAAACGAGTAAGATATATTAACCCAAAATTGTTCATAACAAAAAGGGCATATCAATCTATACCAATGCATAAGGTTCTTCCTTGTGAACCAAGGATGCTTGGGCAATGTCACATTGTGAAGCCATGCCCCTTCCCTTATCTGGTGTTGAAACTTGTGAGAGTTTTAATTGGTGTGGTTCATCTGTGACAAAAGTTAATTTAGACTTCATTTTGAATTTACATCTTGAAAAAGATATATAGATAAAGACCAAGAGTTCATGCTAGAACCATGATAAAATAGCAACATTCCATTCTGAGCCACTCCATAAGCCAGTATGCTTTTGAGTGCAACGAGCAAGAAAAACATGACTGTAGCTTGAACAGTAATATAGTGCATCATGTATACAAAACAAACGATCAACAGGGATTAAACATTTTGAAACTATTCATGTGGGTCCAAGCTCCACAGTTGATTATTGGATGGCCAATTTGTTTTAGAGAGAAAGTTGAACTCAAAATGTACATCCCATAGTTATTTTCCCAGATAAAAATAACTCCTATAATTTTCTTGAACTAATTACATTACTGTTTTAACTAAAAGCAATAACATTTAGAATTTTTGACCTAATTTGAGAGAAAAACTATTCACACTCTTGTTAACTTTTGACAAGGTATCATAATTACCCAGTATTGAAAGTTAGTATGTCATGACTTGTTCATTCATATACATATAGCAGGTTAAATTTATATTTTTGCATAGCATGACCTGCATTGAAAAGAATATATATATATATATATATAATTAGAAAGATGTATATCAGTTATTAACCATAAAGTTTTCTTAAGCTCATTATCTCAACCTTACAAACCTCATTCCAGACTAGTTGGACTTGTTGCAGTTTTCTTGCATAAATCATGCTAATTTGTTAGGATAGATACTTCCTAAAGGTGCAATTATATAATAAGGCTTTGAAAGAGGCCTTTAAATCATCACTTTGCACAAAAAATTATTTGCATGCTATTAAGATAGTCTGCAGTTTTCATAAAGTACCCAATTGAAGGTGAGTAGATGTCTTATCATACATCTATTATTTCAGGAAATTTTATTCTATACAAAACTAACCACAACAGCAGAACAAAATCGTGCTATTATAAATTATTTGGTGCATTTAATGGAGAGGAATGGAAGGATTTTTAATAATTATTTGACATCATGGTTGTCGGATAGTATAGTCTTCTTGGCTTCTCTGTCGTGTTGTGCTCCATGGGCTTTTGGAGGTACTTCTTTAACAGATAGGCAGATGGATTGGAGTTACTACGGTTGTGATTTACTTTAAGATTTTTTTTTTTGTTTCCATCATTATTTTTTCTTTTTATTCTAAAAAGATTTCTCCAAGGAAAATCAATGAAACATGCTTATTAAATATAAAATTTCCAAAATAGAAAAAAAGGGCCTTATTTAGCTTTCATCGAATAATAAAGAAAATGGACAAAAATATTTTGTGAACCAAACAAGGCACTTAATTTTTTTTCTAATGGAAAATTTGGAAAATAACTTTATGATGTTTTTCAATTTTCTAGACAAATTGAAAAAAAATAGAGAACACATATTTCCAAGAAACCAGTTTTCATTTTCAATTAGTAAATGTACTTTCTTTAATTTTCTATTTCCTATAAAATCTTCACAAGTAAACCAACCTAAATTAGTTTTATCTAGATTGAGGTTTCAGTTTGAAACTTGGGAAAATGTCTTATTCTTCTTCGTGTTATTCCTTGCTATCTTTCCAATAAAATTCATTTATATTATTATCTAAAACAGTAGATTAAAGATGAAACTGGTGTTTATGAGTTGCTGAAATGCATTTAAATACCATGTTGGGATAATGAAATTCTAGAAGTACTGTATGCAAATTCAAGAAGGGAATGAGAGCATCAGGCTCATAAACAAAACTGGAACCTGATATATGATTTAGAGAAATAGAGGTCCCAAAGTGTGAATGTCTACCATTCATGCAAAGCCGTGGAATAATTTTGTATTTTGCACAAAATGTGCAGATTGGAAAGCAATGAATAAAATATTAATTCATGTACCATCCTTTGAAAAATGCCTACTCCCAATCAAACAAATTATTCACACTGCAACTCAAGCAGTTTCTTTTCCTTACATGAGTAAGTATATCCTTATATATGCACCACTTGGACATTGTTGACCAGATGGAATTGGATTGTTAAACTTCTAAGACATCCTGAAACAACTTTCTTAAGAAAATGCATCTGCATAACAATTTAAGATATGGATTTCCTAAAAGCTTTATATACATCCATCCAAGTAGGAGAAATTAGTGGAGAGAGAAACAAAGAGCAAAAACAAACCTTTGAAATCAGCCAGGGAGTCTCATTGATTAAACAAGGAAGATAAAATGCCTGAATCCACTAAGAAAATACTCCCTAGTCCAGAATTGAGTGTCCCAAAGAAGAACGCACAATTTTCAAGGAAGCCATTAAAAAAATAATTTGTTTTATCAATAATTTATCTTTCCATCTCTATCTCTAATTATGTTTTTCCACTTTCATCTCAATTTTTGTTGTAAGTAAATTTAGATAATGATAAAGGGTAAAGAAGTAAAGTGAGGTATTTATTATAATTTGACTTTTGATATGGACATTTAAATTAGGAGTGCCAAAAAAGGAAAGTATAACATAACAATCCCTGCATGCAATGCCATGTGATACAAACAAGAAGCTACGTAAAACAAATTATTAATCAATACTCTATCTAAACCCTCAACTATATTGAATGCATTTTAAGGAGAGGGCTTCATTGAAACTTCTATTATAAAGAAAAAAGAGAGAAGGAAAGCCTCATATGCTCTGGATAGAGGAGTCTATCATTCTTGAGGTCATTAAACTGAAGACATTGCCTAAATTATACAAGAATTCAGTTTGGAACACAAAAACATGGGATGCATAACATCATACCAAGCACAGATTACATGATAGAAATATATGGCTAGTTGAAATGCTTAAACAGTCTTACCAAAATGTCCAAAGCAGTTATCATTCTCCTGAACTGCCATCTTGCTTGTGCTTTTCTGTCTTTCTAGGATTATGTTTAATTCAGTTTCTATGTGCCTCTTTCCATCCAATGACAACTCCAAACTTTTAGCATTGTTGAAGTCATTGACAGCATCTTTAAAATTTCCTAAATCAACATTGGCTTTGCCCCTCCTATACCATGCCTGCAGGAAAGAAGCCAAATTCAGAGATGGTGAATACTAGCATCCAGCTCATAACATTCACAATAGAAAGTCCTCTTAAACCATGTGGATAGATATAAGGATTGGAACTGCAAACGTAATGAGCCAGGACCACAATTAGGAGGGAAGCACATAGTCATTTCGAAGACTAACATTCTACACATGGAAGAGGGGTTTTTAACATAAAATCAACAGACAATCTCATCCAAAGTGCTCACTGCCCCAAGGTTGAAGACAACAAACAAACCCAAAACCCAAACATAAACAAAGAACTAAAGCTTTGGACAACAGAAACCCCAAAAAAGTAAGAGAAATAGAAGAGCAACCAAACTTTCATCAATTAATTAAATAAGTTCACAAAACTCATGATAGCCCTAAAACAAACCTAAAGTTAATCCTTGCACGCAATTTGATCTTCCAAAGAAAGCGTTAACCTTAAAGAAGAAATAGGTAATGATACAGTATAACATGAACAGAAAAGACCTTCGATGATGCAATGCGCCCAATATTTTTATTGTTAGCAGATAGTGAGTCACAATAACTGTCATAAATATGAAGAAATCAAAATATATTGAGGCAAATTAGCCGGGCCTAAGTCTAAATCACCAGCATGGTGATCAAACTTGTTGATTTTGGCTGCCCATGACTAATAATATGGAACAAAATTGAGACATATAGTCATGAAATGGAATCTAAGTTATTTAATAATCTCTAGCAGGCAGTTTCTCTCAAGGAAATTTTTTTAGCTAAATTAGAACCCCTTAAACTTGTAGAATCAAATGTTATGCTAAATAATTAATAGATCCAAACAGAGTGATCCAGTAAGTATTGCATATGTTGCATATTCACCTTCGCATATGTTGGGGAAATTTGAATGGCGCGCTTGCAATCCCGTAGAGACTCGGTAAGAAAACCTATTTTCTAAACAAACATACAAACAAAATAAACTTTAACATGAATGAATCAGTTGAGTAAATATAACAAGTAGGGAATAGTTAGTAGCAGTTTTAGATTTAGATATTAAAAAAATGAAAACAGCTTGTTATTTTACTGCACTGACATGAAATAAAGAAGCTCGGTTGAGAAATAAGGTGGCAACCAGATTTTTGTCCATATCAACAGCATCCATTGGAGCAACACGGAGTGCCTGGGAATAGGATTCCAAAGCAGAGGCGTACTCTGCTGTTAAATAAGATTCATTTCCTTTTTGCTTCAATTCCAAAGCGACTTTCTTGTTCTTTCCACAGAGACTATTATTTGAATCCGCCAAATCATCAATCATCTACGAACAACAAAATTAAATTACATTTATTTTATAACGGAATTAATTGAAGAAGATAAAAATTAATTAAGTGCGAAGTAAAAAAGCGAATTGATTTGTTAGTTACTTGTTGAAACTGGGGCAAGTTAAGGAGACAGTGAAGTAGAGTAGAAGACGTGGACGCAAGATCTTCATGACTGCTTTCTCCCACCATCCGCTTTATACTCTCCGGAACTAAACATTTCAACTTCTCCATCCTTTCACTTTTCTATTTCTACTCAGCTCTACAAAACTTCTCCTCTTCTTTCCTCATTTTCTGATTCACCAAATGGGGGCATGGCGACCCTAATGCCAACCATTGGCCCAGGATTGAGCGAAACCCCTTTTCTTTTTAGTTATCTCTATACCATAAACCCCTTCAAAAGTTCTTCATCCTCTTTCTAGAAAAAACAAACCATCTATTTTCAATTCCGTTCTAATTAAAATTACATTAAAATAATATTTGTTTATTCAACATTAACATATAAAAACAATTTAAAACTATAAAAAAAATTCACTAAATATAAAGGTTTTTTTTTCAATTTTTTTAAAATATTTTAAAATAAAAAAATATGATAAAAAATTTAAGATTTTTGAATTAAAGTTTTGACTTAAGGGGTTTTAATGGTTAAAGTTAAGAATTTAAAGTTTTGGGTTTTAGGGTTTGAGTTCGAGATGAGATATAGAAATTAGAGTTTAATTAGGGTGATTTTAGGGTTTGAGTTCAAGATATAGAAATTAGAGTTTAATTAGGGTTTGGGGGTTAAGGATTTATAGTTTAGAATTTTAGATTTTGAGGTTTAGAGATTAAGATTTTGAGTTGTGGTTTGGGGTTTAGGTTTGAGTTTTGGGATTTAAAGTTTAAGGTTTAGGGTTTTAGAGTTTAGGGTTTAGGTTTGAGTTTTGGGATTTACAGTTTAAGGTTTAGGGTTTTAGAGTTTAGATTTTTTGAGTTTAGAGTTTCGGGTTTTGTGGTTTGAGTTTTGAATTTAGGGCTTTGAGATTAAGCGTTTAGGTTTAGGGCTTCGGGGTTACGAGTTTAGGGTTTGGGTTTATGATTTTTAGGTTTTCGGGTTTGGGGTTTGAGGTTTTAGGATATCAGGTTTTAGAGTTTTAGGTTTAAGGTTTGGGGTTTAGGGTTTTTAGGGTTTAGAGTTTTGGAGTTCAGGGTTCGGAGTTGAGGGTATAGGGTTGAGTGTTACGGGTTTAGGGTTTTAAGGATTTGAGTTTTGGGTTTAGGGTTTTTGAGTTCAGGGTTGAGGGCTCGGGGTTTAGGGTTTAGGGTTTTAGGATTTTAGGGTTAGGGTTTTAGGGAGTTTTTAGGGTTTAGAGTTTTGGAGTTTAGGGTTCGGAGTTAAGGGTATAGGGTTGAGTGTTAGGGGTTTAGGGTTTTAAGGATTTGAGTTTTAGGTTTAGGGTTTTCGAGTTCAGGGTTGAGGGCTCGGGGTTTGGGGTTTAGGGTTTTAGGATTTTAGGATTTTAGGGTTAGGGTTTTAGGGTTTGGGGGTTTAGGGTTTGGAGTTTTTGAGTTTGGTTTTCGGGTTCGGGGTTTTGGGTTTAAGGTTTAGGGTTGGGGGTTTAGGGGTTGGGGGTCATGGGTTTGGGGTTGGGGGTTCGAGGCTTGGGGTTTCAGGTTCGGGGCTTGGGGTTTCGGGTTCGGGGCATAAGGCATAGGGTTTAGGGTTTAGGGTTTAGGGTTGAGGGCTTAGGGCTTAGGGCTTAGAGTTCAAGGTTTAGGGCTTCAGGGTTTGGGTTTTGGGTTTTGGGTTCGAGGTTTGGGTTTAGGGTTTAGGGTTTTAGGGTTCAGGGTTTGGGTTTAGGGTTTGGGTTCTAGGATTTAGGGTTTTAGGGTTTAAGGTTTAGGGTTAGGGGTTTAGGGTTAAGGGTTAGGGGTTTAAG